ACCTAAAACCACACTATATCTTTATAAATGACATTGTGCATTTCTGAGTATGCCTCACACAGGTGAGTGGACTTGACAAACCACCTGCAGAAACCCTCTCTCTCCTTATGCACTGTACACATTTTCTTAAACTCCACACACAACATTTCGAACCACTGTATGTCCACACAAATAGCAGAATGACAATAAAACTCAACTAGACTTGACTTGAAAACAAACACATTTAAACACTAGGTGTGAATGGTAGTGTGTCTCTTTTGTCCACTTGTGATCGGCAAAAATGCATCCTAAGACCAGGTGCGAACAGGGCCTCAGGCTGTGATAGAAACTGCTCTCACTCACCTGGAGCCACCATGATCTCGTGTTTCTTGGATCTGATGCGCAGGAATGTGAGCTCGTTCTGCGGGTCGATGTCTCGAACTGCACTCCTGGCCTTCATGGTGAGCTGATGCAGCAGACCTGCATACTGAACTGACGTTGAGTTGTCCAGCGTCGTTCTAATGGGAATGCCTGGAAATAAAGTGGGAAACAGGGCTCGAAATTAACCCTTTTGATTGGTTGCACAATTGCTCCTTACTTTAAAAAATTAAGGCGCATCAGTCAAAAGCACCTTTTCTACACGTTTTATACAAACATATTTATTGCATTTGAAATCAGCACTAATCAAACTTACAAGCAATATATATATATATATATATATATATATATATATATATATATATGCAAGAGTGAGGAAAATCTGTCTCAACAAAATCCTGTTATCACAAGAAAATAGATTTTTATAACATAACTGAGTGATCAAAAGGTACACGGAGCGCTCACCGGCCCTGCACACACTGCTTGACATAAATGAATCTGTTAACAAAAACTGTGCCGTTCTCACGGCTGTTGTCTGACATTGCACTGATGCTTTTGACATATACTGTGCCTATATTAAGTCATGTTAATAGCAATACCGGTCTCTTATGAGTAGCGATATTAGTTTACTCCATGCAAGCCCGTTTGAGATGGTGTATGTGGTGTTAAATTACACATATAGCTGCCACATACATGGCGGACAGCATCTGGCGATTATATGAGGGAACAAAAACAAAAGCTTTCGTGCTAGATGTGGCAAACAGTTACCTGAAGATTTCATCCCACAGACTTTTCATAGCGGACTTGAAGCCAATGGAAGTCTTTTATCCACTCTTTGAAAAGTGTAGATGGTGGGTTAAAATTTAGCACATGATCACTTGTAAGATGTGTCATTATTTGTAACTTTAGATGCCATGGTTTCTAAAACAAAATCTGTCAGTGTTATCTTCATTCTCATCCTCAGCGCTTTACAATTGTTCGTGGTTGTAGCTCTCCCTGTCATCCCAAGCCAGAAGGCATTGACTGAGTGATTGACAGTTGATATTAACCAATCCATTCGCATTCAGTTCCAAAGCAGTAGTGGGCCAATAAAAAGAGAGTGAAGCTGGGGCAAGTATTACGGACTTGGCTTTGTTTACTGCAGCAAGTTAAGATGACAACTGTTTTAAACGCATTCCCTGCGTTTCTCGTTTTAAGAGCAGAGATGCATTTTGCGTGAATGTCTTCCGAATCCACGCATGTGGTGAACATTTTGCAGTAAAACTGGTTGCACACAACAATTTTATGCACTTGCGCAGATGCTCCCAAATATATTTTGAGATTGCATAGATAAAATTTCAGGCGCATATGCAACCAAAATGGTCGCAATTTCGAGCCCTGGGAAAACATCTGCTCATATATAACACATACTGTGTGTGTTGAAAAAAGACCACATTTATAGATCTTAATGAAACTTTATAGCAGTTATACTGTAAATTTTTCAATTTAAGTAAATTAGAGTAGATTAAATGTATATTGTTATAATATTGTATATAAAAATTAAATATAGAAAAAAGTAAACAAACCTATATAATTGTTAAATATTAGTATTATTATTATTATAAAATGGTAAGATTTATTCATAAATTTTATTTCGGCTTAGTCATTTTATTAATCTGGGGTCGCCACAGCGGAATGAACCTCCAACTTATCCAGCATATGTTTTATGCAGTGGATGCCTTTCCAGCTGCAACCCATCTCTGGGAAACATCCATACACTTTCATTCACACTCATACACTACGGACAATTTAGCTTACCCAATTCATTTATTTCATATGTCTTTGGACTTGTGGGGAAAACCGGAGCACCCAGAGGAAACCCGAGTGAACACGGGGAGAACATGCACACTTCAAACAGAAATGCCAACTGAACCAGCCAAGGATCAAACCAGCGACCTTCTTGCTATGAGGCAATTGTGCTACCCACTGTGCCACCGTGACTCCCTTGTAATATTTAATAATATTTAACACAATACTAATTATACAGGCACAATGACAATAACAGCAATAGTAAATTAATTATTATTAAAAATCATAGCAATGATAATTTGTACTTTTTTGTACTTTATATATTTATAATTTTGTAGTTTATATATTTTTAAAATGTATCATTTATTTTTTGCAACAGAAACAACAAGTTTACATTAGATTTATTTTCCTTTCTGAAACCACCAGTTTGTCTTCCTCTCCATTTGTGACAATTCTTTTATATTAAAGTTATTACTTTATAATAAGAGATATAATAATTACTTAAATCTAACAATGCTATTCAATTGCTATGATTTATATTTTATTTATATACAATTTAGCCTACCCAATTCACCTGTACCGCATGTCTTTGGACTGTAGGGGAAGCCGGAGCACCCGGAGGAAACCCAAGCGAACGCAGGGAGCAGGGCCGGAGTGGGATTCCTTTTCAGCCCTGGAGTTTCAAGCCTCAGACCAGCCCACCTCAGTTCACGACTGACTATATTAAAATAAGGTCATTTCCAAATCAGTTTCTAATGACACTATCACGTCTTTTTTTGAGAAAACAGCTGCTTTAGAACTTTAAATGTTCAACAACCCTAACAGTATTACCTGTCTTAACAATAAAAATGAAAACAATAAGTTACTCTAACGAGGATCGAACCCGGGTCCGCGGCGTCTTTTTCTAACGCGCTAACCTCTGGACAAAGGCTGTGGTCAAGTAAATAAATAAATTTGAAAAGTGTGACTGCTGAGAGCAACAGATTCTGCAGCTTGGGACACCGGCCCTCGCGGCCAAAAAACGGACCGGCCCACCGGGAATTCTCCCGGTCCTCCCGATTAGCCAATCCGGGCCTGGCAGGGAGAACATGCAAACTTCACACAGAAACGCCAACTGACCCAGCCGAGGCTCGAACCTGCGACCTAGCGACCTTCTTGCTGTGAGGCGACAGCACCAACTGCACCACTGCATCACCATTATTATTTTTATAAAATAATAATAATAAAATCTGAACATTAATAACTCTATTATTGTTGTTATTCATATTAATACTACTTCTATCACTACTACTACTAATAGTAATGCAATACTTATAATTTTTTTATTATTATAGAAATATAGAAAGAAAATTAATTAAAGCAATATTAATTTTTTTATTGATTATAATTATAGATTGAATAATATAAATATTAGAATAGCAGATTATCCTATGAGTCCTACAGTGTATCCTTATATTATATTATATTATATTTTATTATATTATATTATATTATAATAATATTCTTCATTCTTTTTCTTGTCGGCTTAGTCCCTTTATAAATCCGGGGTTGCAACAGCGGAATGGACCGCCAACTTATCCAGCACGTTTTTACGCAGTGGATGCCCTTCCAGCTGCAACCCATCTTTGGGAAAGTATTATATTATATTATATTATATTATATTATATTATATTATATTATATTATATTATATTATATTGCATTATATATTGTATTATATTATATTATATATACCAGCTTAACATATGTAACGTTAGAGCTGTGGAGAATATTACAGTTAATTTACTACTGTAACGTTAAATGCTTAACGTACCTTCTCCGTTAACCACTATTGTCCCAATAACACCATGTTGGGCCTGAATCCTCTTTAAAGTGTCTTCGACTTCAGCCTGGACAAATAAGAGTACAGTATAAATGAAGAAAACCGCCATTATTCATTATTATTGAAAGCTAAACTCGAAGAAAAAAACATAAAGTTTACCATGTCGCTCAGATCAGGTGTACTTCTTCCGCCGTGTGTCCTTGTTGCTGTGGAAACGAAAGTAAATGAAGTGGTAACATGATCATCGTGAAGTCCTTCGTTTTTAACTTGCTTATATATTTTTTGTATATCTTATATTATTTTTGTTAAACTTTCTGAGCAAATTGACAGTCAGGAAAATGACATTAGCATGCAGCTAAATCTTTTTAGTACTTTTCTCAGCGAAGATCAAAACAGACCACAGACTGTAAAATAGAGTAACAGACCAACAGTCTTTTGTAGTTAAACAATATTTAATTGTCGTACAAGTAATGTTTAGTGATATGTTTATTACTAAATAATGTTTGTAATATGTTAATGTGTTTTAAAATAAAGCAAAATAACAATTTAATACACAAACTTGAAAAATAAAAATAAAACAAATGTATTTATCTTGAATTAGCCTTTAGCACTCTATACGTAAAGGTAATTAAAATTGATTATACATTATTTTACCATGACTGATTATAGAAAATAATGTAATAATAAACATTAAAAACTTATTTGTCATCTATTTTCAATTGTATTAAATTTATTATGAAAAACTGTCCTATTTATCACAGCATTTTACTGAATAAATCTTGCATTACGGTTTAATTCACGCACACAAACTCCCTCAGTAGCAGTTGCTAATATCTAACCAGCAGATGTCGCTATCATGCGGGTACTTGGTATTTCGCTTTCGAAACCAAAAATCACCTGCACAATATTCTTTCATTTTATATTCTTATTTCATCATCTGAATGTAGCCTTAACTTAAATGCAAACACAAATGTACAAACAGAAATGCGCATTATTGCTAACACTGACGTCAAAACGCGATGTCGTCACGGGGAGACTTGTGTCACGTAACTGACGCAGACGCCAGAGGAGCGGAGTGCAGGTGACAGCAGCTGTTGTTGTGCGGTGATGATGTAATGCTGCTCCGGATGGCGGTGTGCGCCAGGCTCTGTGGAGTGGGGCAGTCCCGGAGGTGCAGGCGGCGGCAGCGGCACAGCCAGGCGGACCAGGACAGCGACTCCGACATGGAGATGGAGGAGGGGGAGGAAGAAGAGAGGGTGGTGGGCAAAGCGAAAGATGAGCCTGACGGCAGCGGTATCGGCGGCGGCTGTCATAGCAGCTGCGGCGCAGGGCCTAGTGGAGCCGGTTCCGGAGCCTCGGCCTCGGGCTCCGCAGGGCCGCCACACCCGCAGTCTCTGCTGGATCTGCCGCCCGAGCTGCTCGTGGAGATCTTTGCGTCTCTGCCCGGCATCGCGCTGCCCAACCTGGCGCTGGTGTGCAAGAAATTCAGGCAGATCCTGAACACGGAAACCATCTGGAGGAGGAGATGCACTGAGGGTAATAGCGACGAGTACATCATTTCGGTTTCATAAAGCGACTTTCTGCTTTATAGATCATATTGTGGGTGAAGTTGGTTTAATAGCTATTAGGATTTTCTCCCTAATAATATAACATTACTTTAAGAAAAGAATAATTTGCTAATTTTAAATAGGAAAATAAAATTAGCAGCCAATGAATATTAAAGTACAATATGGTCACAGGCAATTAAAATAGTGCTCTTTTTAAAGTCATACTTAAATGCGATTTAGACCCAATTTGAGTGTTGTAAACAGTGCAAGGAGCGTAAAATGAACAAATGTAAAACCAACTTTACCTCAATTAGACCACGTTCATTGCGAGTTGTGCTGTTATCATAAAGATACCGTTCATACACGACGAGCCATTAGCATAAACTCAGACAGGCACACACACACACACAGAGCTCATAAACATACACACACATGTTGGTTTCTGTGGTTTTCGCGGACTCTCTATAGGCTTAACGCTTTTTATACAGTAAAATCACTTATTACATGGTGTCAAAATTCCCATAAACCTTTACAGTAAACCTGTGGCAAATATTGAATGTGAAAAGCATGTTTTGGGTCATAAACCACCCCAATGTTGTAATAGCTTGGTCATAACCAGGGCCAGATAGAATCTGCGAACATTTTTTGCTATTTTTGCACAGAATTTTGTAAAAAATCAGAGAATTTATGCAGAATGATTTTGGGACTATCATATATAAAAACGTAATACAACAAAATAATAATAATAATAATACCTTATTAACTTGTATTTAATGTTCTCAATTAGGGTTGGGTTGATAGACGATGGCCGATAGACATCACGATGCTGAGCCAGTATCACGATCCTCCGCCTGCCCGCCCTGCCATCTCCGGGCACTATACCGCTGAAAACACACATCATGTGACCACAAACACTCTGGCATGAACTGCAGTGTTTGCGCACGTTTGAACTCCAGCAGTCAGCGGGTGCTTTGAACACAAAACATCAGAGAGCAGTGCATGTCGGACACTTTATTAAGAATGTGCCACTCGTGTCTCATTATAGTTGTTAAAGGTGATATTTAATTAATCTTGTCTCTATCTAACGATTCTTCAGTCTTTTGAATCTATCAGGTAACGTGTCACAGCGGCAGTACACTGCTTCAATTATTCACTTTCACGTTTGTACTTAGTAATTTTAGCGAAAACCTCAGATACAGTTGGTTGGTTCCTGTTGGTTGTGCACCTTTTTTACCATCTATGTATGTATGTCAACGCCATTATAACAACACAGATCACTCTGCCTGTTCATGCCAGAGTCTTGCGGAAAAACTGATTGACGGGTGGTGATCTGTGTGTAACTTATCTTTATTTATTTCTGATTTGGTTATGTGTAAAACTAAGACCATGCAGGTCAGGTAGTTAAAACGGTAGATTACAAATAAATAATTTGTCATTAATTAATAATTAATGAATAAATAATTCACCGCTGCCTATGATGACAATGTCATCGCGATGTTTCACATTAGACATCGTACGGCCAAATTGGTCGACATCGCCCAACCCTGTTTTCAGTGCAAATCCAATTAGATCCACTTATTTGGTAAACAAAGCAAGTCTCTCATATAAAACATCTACTAAAAGATACAAAAAAAAAAAAACTTTACAAGCTGTATTGTACATAAATTATGTAAACATTTTTATATTAGTCAACAATATTACTGAAATTAGTATAAAATCCTAATAAACTTAACAAACAGTTACGTAACTAGATAAATGATGGGATAAAAATCTGCAGATTTCTGCATGTGCAGATTCCGTGTGGCCCTAGTCATAACCATGTCATTACACAAATTCAATTTTGTGTCCTCATAAATCACATAAACAATTACACACACGGTCGTTGCTATTATTAGTGCTAGTGCTAGTAGTATGCGTCAGTGTTAATTATATTAAAAAACTTCCTGATTCAGACAGATATTAGCTTAGATGTAACTGTAATAAACATTTATTTAACACACATTACTTGTGATTAGGTGGTGTTGTAACCCAGACATATATAACTATGAAAATACTGTGAAAAAAAGAAATGCTGCTTAATATCATATTGTTTAAAAATGATAATGAAATCTACAATTATTACAATTTAATTTCAGAAAATTGGTTGTATAATATTATGAAAAATATATATTTTTATACATGCGATCAACTGTAGAGCAATGACATTTTCACCCTTGTGACTGAAACAAGTCTTTTTATTATATAATTTATATAATATTATATAAAATTATATAAAATTACGTCTTTTTATTATATAATTTGACCTTTTTGCACAATGGTTGAGTTGAAAACATTTACAAATACTTATTCATAGGATCATATAATGCTGTTAAATTGTGTGTGGGAAATCATATAAATTAAAAAGAAAGAAAAAGAATGCATTTTAGACCAGCATTATCACTTTTTTTTTAGAAGATCCCCTCAAAAATTTTAATTAATTAAATATTAATATTAGAAGAAATAATAATGTAATAAATTAAATTATTCTATAGATTCATGTAAAATGTAATATTTGTATGATAGTGGGTAACATTTTTTTTCAAATAAAAATATTTGAGGCATTTATAATTATGAAAAAGATTGAGTCGTTTCAAATTCATAGATAAAATTAGATTTGACTTGTCTTCCTGACATTGTGTGAACGTTTTTATTCATGCTTAATACGTTGGTTTACAGTTTTGTGCACATTTTTTTGTTTATAAATATCGTAATAATGATACAGACTTTTTACAAATTGGTACATAAGTCAAGGCCAAAACCATTAGTGAAACACCTAATAGCATATTTAATTGTGTGAATAAAATGTAAATTGCCACCACTGGTCTTATCTACCAGTCTTCATAGAACCATTTGTTAGTTCGTAAGACCTCTGCAGTTCACTGTAACAGAATAAAGCAGGGCTCCATTTCCCAAAAGCACCGTGAAGCTAAGAAGATTGAAAAAATTATTGTGCGACTAATCTCAATATTATAATCTTTTACAAAACCAACGTGACTTAAGTAACACTTAAAAATTGTTTAAGATCTACAAGTTCTCTATACTATAGTCATTGTTAAAGCACTATGTAATTGTAAGAATACAGTGTTATGAGGATAATCGGCAGATTGGAGCTGTAACCTTATCCGCTTGATAAGTGGTGACGTATGTAATACTGTTTCCGGGTCCAAGCCGCCATTCATTTGAGTGGAGAAATCATTAGTTTATGATCACGTTTTATTCCTATCACACATTAAAGTTAATTTTATATAAAATCATAGTGTACACAACAATCTCTGGGCTTGCTGCATAACAAATACCAAAAAATTAACAATTCATAAAAAAATGAATCACTTTCTGGCCATCGGATATTAGGCATGGACATATATACTGCGATCGTGATTTTATTAAATCGCTTTGTAAGCGTTTATTATTACCATTTCATGAGTCTCCCCATTCATTTGAGCGCTTGGACCCGGAAGCCGCTTCGTCAAACTTAACAAGTAGATTCAAGTGAAGTCCCATACAGGAATTTGATACATGGCAATATATAACCATGTAAAACTGTAGCTAATATATTTAAATATTAAACCTATATTTGTAGTTCCAGTGGTTGAAAAAAAATTAAATTGTACATTTTTTCAATATTTTGAAATATACGTTGCATACTTGACATATTTTATATACAGTCGTTACAGAAAGTATTCAGACCCCTTTATATTTTTCACTCTGTTGTATTGCAGTCATTTGATTAAATCATTTAAGTTCATTTTTTTCCTCATTAATGTACACACAGCACCTCATATTGACAGAAAAACATTTTTGCAGATTTTTTTAAAAGCAGAACTGAAATATCACATGGTCCCAAGTGTTGAGACCCTTTTGCTCAAAATTTAGTTGAAGCACCCCTTTAGATGCAACAAGTTTTTTTACACCTGGATTTGGGGATCCTCTGTCTTTTCTCCTTGCAGATCCTCTCCAGTTCTGTCAGGTTGGATGGTAAACGTTGGTGGACAGCCATTTTCAGGTTTCTCCAGAGGTGCTCAATTAGGTTTAAGTCAGGGCTCTGGCTGGGCCATTCAAGAACAGACAAGGAGTTGTTGTAAAGCCACTCCTTCGTTATTTTAGCTTAGGGTCATTGTCTTGTTGAAAGGTAAACTTTCAGCCCAGTTTGAGGTCCTGAGCACTCTGGAGAAGGTTTCATCGAAGATATCCCTCTACTTGGCCGCATTCACCTTTCCGTTGATTGCAATCAGTTATCCTGTCCCTGCAGCCATGATAAGCAGTGCCTGGTTTTCTACCGCTTAGAATTAAGACAAAAAGTTCTATCTTTGTCTTATCAGACCAGAGAATCTTATTTCCCACCATCTTGGAGTCTTTCAGGTGTTTTTTTAGCAAACTCCACTGAGGAGACGCTTCGGTCAGGCCACTCTGCCATAAATCCCCAACTGGTGGAGGGCTCCTCTCTCACCAATGTTCTTCTCCCACGATAGCTGGAAAGCCAGCATTATGAAGCGTTTAAACGTCTTCCATTTATGTATTAGGAAGGCAACTGTGTTCTTAGGAACCTAAAGTGCAGCAGAAGTTTTTTGTTACCTTGGCTAGATCTGTGCCTTGCGACAATTCTGTTTCTGAGCTCTTCAGGCAGATCCTTTGACCTCATGATTCTCAGTCGCTCTGACATGCATTGTGAGCTGTAAAGTCTTATATAGACAGGTGTGTGGCTTTCCTAATCATGTCTAATCAGTATAATTAAACACAGCTGGACTTCAATGAAGTTGTATAACCATCTCAAGGATAATCAGAAGAAATGGACAGCACCTCAGTTAAATATATGAGTATCACAGCAAAAGGTCTCCATATTTGGAGGAGGGTATAAACGGAGGTCAGAGCCAGCTCCAAGTGGGTCGGCATTCGATCTCCGAGTGGGCTGTACAAACCTAGAGTTTTATTTATGTCATGCTTTGTACATGACACAGAGTCAAATATTGTGTTTTATGAATGTCTACACCTACCCCAACCCTAAACCCAAACTCTCAGTAACCTGATGTTACCACCTAAACCCAACCTACTTGCGGTGTAATCCCTTCCACTTGGAGGTCACCAAGCTGCAGTGATAGTACCTACTTGAAATACTTAATACTAGAGCTGCACAATTCTGTAGATGTAAAATAAAGGTTAATATGAGTCAGCAATTATTATTGTTTTTTCTCAAACATATGATAAAGTAATAATAATATGTGTAGGTCTACTGGTATCTATAAATAATTCAATTGTACTTATAATAGTTCTGATGTTGAATTATGTTTGAGATATAGACCTGTGCTTGCAATCTGTCATTGACAACATTATTAGACCATTTATTCACTGGTAAAATCAACATTATATATGCTAGAGTAGTTATACTGACACTGTAAACATTTATTTTCATGCACAACTATGTGTTCGCTATGAAAGAAAAAACATATCAAATGCTTGTCGCAATCATAACTGTAAAATGCGATATGATTATTTAAATGATGTGCGCGCTTTCGGTTTAATTTTCACTGCTAAGTGCTCTTCGCACTTCGCGCGCGGCTCTCAAACGATCACTCTGTGCCACTAACTGAATGTTGTTTACAACTTTATTATCTGTTATTCACAGCCTATGCAGATTCTGTTCACTAAAGTATATGCACACTCGTCTATCATTAAGTAGGGCGAACGCCAGCCCTCTCTGTGGTAACAGCTCCTGGTTAGCAGCTCACCTTACGTGTGATTTCGTGGCCGCGAGTACAGCATTATATGAAGACAAAAATGACATTTTTGGGTGAATTATACCTTATAAATACAGTATGTGACTTTTTAACATCATTTGGTGGTGTCCATATCACTGAGCAACATATGTGAAACAATGAAAAGACTCATACAGCTGCCTTTGCTTCTCTCCTAAACTTGAAAATATGATTGGCAGAATCGAAAAAATGCTGGATTAAGATCGTCTAGGGCAGGGGTGTCAAACTTATTTTAGCTCAGGGGCCACATGGAGGAAAATCTATTCCCAAGTGGGCCGGACCTTTAATTATTATAAATATAAGTATTATATATGTACAAAAGTATTATATATATATTTATATTATATGTACAATATATATTTATATTATATGTATATATATATGTATATTATATTTATATATTTATATTATATGTATATATAATACATATATAAATATAAATATATATATAAATACATATATAAATATGTATTTATATATGTGTATAAATATGTATATAAATATGTATAAAAATAAAAAAATGTGTATAAATTATATATAAATACATATATAAATATATTATTTATAATATAAATATATATTATATATAATATAAATATATTATATAAATATATTATATATGTATATATAATTTTATTATATGTACAAAAGTGTAATATATATATATATATGTGTGTGTGTGTGTGTGTGTGTGTGTGTGTGTGTGTGTGTGTGTGTGTGTGTGTGTGTGTGTGTGTGTGTGTGTGTGTGTGTGTGTGTGTGTGTGTGTGTGTGTGTGAATATATTTTTATTTATTTAAATATATAATGCTATATATATGTTGTGTGTGTGTGTGTGTACGTGTATACATATATATATATGGGATGCTACAATACAGTTAGCCCACGGTTCAATACATACCTTGGTTAGGTTTGGTTCTCATGGCTTGACACGTGTTTTTGTTTTTTGTTTTTTTTTTTGTTTTTGTCATTCTATAGGCAATAGGAACAGCTAAAAAAATGCGAGAGTGTAGTCTGGAACGCGGATCGAGTGCTTTTATAAAATGACAAAAGCCTGCATCTCTAATTTCCGAAAATGGCATCAAATCTTTAGCAATAAACACCCGCACTGCCTTTGTTTTTTTTGTTTTTTTATGTGTCTCAAGCAACGTGTTGGGTATGTTTGCTTGAAAGATTTAGCAAGGGATTGTTGCTATTTGGAGAACTTTATTACCGTCTCTGCTATCCTGCTATCAGTGATATTTCTGGGTGATGGCTCTGCAGATGTGCAGTCATGGTTATACGTGTAAAACAATGCTTGTGTAAAACACAGTTATTTTAGTTTTTTCTTTTATTGGCATTATGCTTACCAGCAAAACCGAAATGTCCTCACGCTGCAGATTTGAAAGACGACGGAGCTTACACGAACTTTTGTCTCACTTCGCTTGTCTGAAGCTCATAGGTCAATTTATTTATGGCAGAAACACCATTAAGCCTCGCTAGATCCTCCTGTATGGGCACGCGTTCGTTATAAAACACTCACAGGACATTAATTTGGACAACTATTCATGTATTAAATAGTTCACACAAAAATACACAAAGAGAGACCTTCACTTTCACTTCATGCATAGTTTGTGAATGAACAGACTTACATGTTGCCTACTAGTTGCAGACGCGATCATGAGGCGGCTTTTTGCGCAGAGTTTGAAGTAATCCATCAAAGAACAGGAGAAAGTGGATAAATTCTCGCGGCCCAACTGCAGGAGAGCTGCCTGAGGCCCCCTAGTGGGTAGCCGCTCACCATTTGAGAATCCCTGCTTTATCGAATTAAATTAACCATTTGCAGTTTTGCCACCCAGTGGACACAATTGGAACAGCAGCTTCTTTTATTGAAAAATTACAACTCGTTTCTATATTTTACAGAACCATGTTGCGTGCCGCATTAAACCTGTTTGCGGGCCTGATCTGGCTTACGGGCCGCACGTTTGACATCCCTGGTCTAGGGGGTCAAATTGAGATCGCAATCTTTTTTGATTAATCGTGCAGCTCTTCTTAGTACCATGTGATATTTCAGTTTTTCTTTTTTAATAAATCTGCGAAAATGTCAGCAATTCTGTCTTTTTCTGTCAATATGAGGTGCTGTGTGTACTTTGAGCAAAAAATAAACTTAAAGCAAATGGCTGCAATATAACAAAGAGTGAAGGGGTCAGAATACTTTCCGTACCCACAGTATGTGAAATCTTAACATGATTTTTTTATGTACAGTAAGTTGTATATTTTCTGATTTATTCAATTTTACTTTGAAGTGAAACATATCAGGAAGTTAGCTGACGTGGGTATGTAATCTAGATTAAGTGTTTTCTTTAGAGTCTAACTTGGAACTAATGCAATTTTTTTTTTATCTTCTTTCAGAATTTGGTATGAGAGATGACCTGAGGAAGATGGAGATTGTGGGAATATCGAGCCGAGATTTGTATGTGAAACGTAAGTAAATCTAGTAACCTACTGTACAAATTTCAGTAATTTAAGGTATCGTTCAAAAGTATGGGGTCAAAATGATATTTTCTTTTTTTAAGGGCGATAATTCACCCAAAAATGAAAATTCTGGAATCATTTACCCACATGCCACTTAATCAAAACCTATTTATGTTTCTTTCTTCTGATGAACACAAAAGAAGATATTTAGAAAAATGCTGGTAACTGACACTAATTTAGAAAATTCATAAAAACAGTAAAAACACTTTGCCTAACTGTATTAATCAAATGATTCTGAATAAAATGTATAGTAGTATTCACAAGAAGTACTTGTATTCGTTTGATGGAAACAATGCAGTTATAGTTATACACACTTGCCTCTTTTATCTCTAAAACGTTAAAACTAAAATTAGCTTTAATTTCACTACCTATATACTATAAACCCCTAACTATACACAAAATTTAAGACAGACTATATAAGGACTTTTACATAAAACATAACAATATTAGGTATTTAATGTTGAAGAAAACAAATAGTGGAACATGAAGAAAACATTGTTTTTTATTGAGTGAAAGTCAAATGGAGTTTAAATAAAGTGTCTGGTGCATGTGGAAAGAGAGATTGTTACTACAGGTGGTTTGTCAAGCCCACTTACCTGTGTGAGGCACATTCAGAAATGCACAGTTTTTCAAGAGATATGAAGTGATTGTAGGAAAATGTACATTTGGCATTTTATCTAAAGGGAATTGCTAATGAGGGCAATAGAAGCAACAACATACAAATACTATGAGAATTTTGTGCATATGTGTGTATTATAAAAACACAAGCATATTGTATTAAACATAAAGATCAGCATCTCTGCTTTGTTGAGATTTAGGCAATGTAAATATGCAATCTTGTCTGATCATTGCTATTTTCTTGTTATTTACTAATTGACAAAAGCCTTGTCGCCTGTCCAAGTTTTAGGAACAGCAAATAATGTCAAAGAAGTTGACTTCTACTTAATCATTTGGTTTCAGAAGTGGCTTATATGAAAGGCATTATTATTTCATACACGCTTATTTTACCAAAATAAAATGTGATCATGCCTTGATTTTTAATTATTTAATTAGGACAGTAAGGTCTGACTTTGCTAAGACAAAAGTCTTATCACTTAACAGAAATTATGTAGAGTATAGAATATAAAGTCATGGTGCAGTGGAAAAAGAATTAATATTGTGTATGACTCCCTTGAGCTTGGAGGACTGCATCCATACATCCATGCAATGACTCAAATAAATTGAGTTATTGGCAAAGAAAGCTTTCTTGCAGGACTCCCATAGTTCATCGAGTTTTTTTGGATTCATCTTCAATGCCTCCTCCTTCATCTTACCCCAGACATGCTCAATAATGTTCATGTCTGGTGACTGGGCTGGCCAAATTTTCAAGCACCTTGATCTTCCTTACTTTCAGGAACTTTGATGTGGAGGCCCCATACTGAATGTAACCCCAAACCATGATTTTTCCTTCATCAAACTTGACTGATTTCTATGAGAATCTTGGGTCCATGTGGGTTCCAGTAGGTCTTCTGCAGTATTTGTGATGCTTGAGATGCAGTTTAACTGATGATTCGTCAGAAAAATTGACCTTCTGCCACTTTCCAAATGATCAACAAGAAGTCAAGTTATTATTTGTTGCTCTTACAACTGGGATTGACGACAAGACTTCAGGTAGTGTAAATCCTTTTTTTTTTGAGTTGATTTGTAGTAATGATCACATTAAAACAAACATGATATACATTGTTTTCCGATCAGATTAAAAATGAATTCAGAAAAACACATCTAAACATTAAACGACTATAAATGATACCAACATGGTTATCATTTTCGTTTCTTGTTTTTCTGATAGCATTTATTTTCAGCTCTGAGATGTTTAGTTTACCTTTATTCCCTAGTTTAACCAATAGCATAATAGCGCCTTCTAGGGAGGCAAGTATAGATCCCATAGACCCCATCTGATTGGTCAGATTTGGATACGCAACCTACAAATACTGTACAACCTACTCATTCTTAATTAATCATACACTCTTCAAAACAGATGTTGCATATGTTATTATTACAATAAAGATAATGTTTCGATGTTTTGTGCAGCCCTAGGTTATACTATGATTAAAGGTGACCTTATTCAAGTGCAATAATTCAATCAGAACAATGTCTCTCACTCATATAAACCAATACTCCTTAAAGCATGGACCCGCAATGAACTTTTGAAGGAATAGTTCACCTAAAAGTGAAAATTCTTGACTCACCCTCTACTTGTTCCAAACATGTTTGAGTTTCTTTTTCTGTTGAACACAAAATATAATATTTGGAAGAATTTTGAAAAGCCTTAGTGATTGGCATCCATGGAAGGAATCTTTTTTTTATTTTAGTGGACTATTCTTTTTATCTCATTATTATTAAAACAATATCACTGAAGTATATATTCATGTGTTCATATATAGCACAAATCAGTAAAAAGATCAGACCAGTGTTTGAGACTCAGGTCATCTCTGGTGCTAGATTTAGAAAACGTAAACATCGATACTTGATTTGCTGTTGGTTGTGGACTGAACAGAGTGTGATGGATAGGTAAATGTCATTTGTGCTTTTCAAACTCAACTGTTGTGTTTGCTAATGTGATGTCACTCCACCTCATTACATATCATTAATCATTTGCATTTTTTATACCTCAGCTCACAAACGCTGTTTTAGGAGTATTAGACTGTTTATTTTTCTCTGGGTTTTTTTTTTTTTTTTTGGTCGATTGGTTTACCTGTTTAGAGGAACTTCATTGTCATTGTTGGTTTAAACCAAAGAATATTCAGTAGGTGAAAACACAAATGGTTGTTACTTAAAGAGAAAGATTTTCCCAGTACTTAGTGTGGCGGTTTTATGCAAGTTATCAGAATCTGAATTTTTATTTGCATTGTAACAAATTTACACGAAATTGTCCAAATCAACAATAGTAGCAAAAAATGATAAGTAATAAATTAATATAAATAAAGGATAAGTAAACATAACAATAATAATATAAACTTAGACATACTATATATGTATAGTACTATATATGTATATATATATATTGTATATATATATATATACTTATTTTCACCATACTTTTTTGACAACACTATTGTGTCAGCTGTTGCCCTCTGCTTTTTTCCCTCTTTCACCTGCACACCTCTTCAGGTGTGAACCCACAGGTGAAGTCAGGACGCTTTATGAAGCTCCTCCCTGATTATGAGCATATGGACTATCGGGACGTGTACACACACTGTATGTACTGTGTTTGTGTGTTAGGATTTGTGGTGATGAAACTAAATTACTGCCTGTGAAGCTGATGGTTGAAGATGCTCTTTGCTATTGATGGGGTGTTCCAGGTTCATTGCAAGTTAAGCTGACAAACATGGTATTGATTGAACTCCATATTTAAAAATGATTACTGAAGTGCTCTCATATTTTTTTACTCATAATTTTCATTGTATCATCACATTTTCTCAGTGTTCATTTCTGGTACTTTTTAATTGAAGAATCTTCATTTAAAAGAACTTAAAAATGTTTTTTTTTCATGTCTATGCCTGAAATTGCTAAAAGGGATTGTGCACCCAAAAATGAAAATGATTAGATTAAGTTTTTAAGTTTCTTTCTTTTGTTGAACACAAGATAATATATCTTGGAGAATATTGGAGATTGATAGCCATTCATAATACTTTTGGAGCAACTCTAACAACACTATGTTAGGTGAAATTTGGACAAATTCAACATTGGGTTAAATATGTTAATTAAATTTAAACTACACTTTTTAACTTAATAGTCAGGCTTGTCCATATTTGACCCTACATTGAGTTGTGACACCCTAATTTAGAATGCAAATTTGGAACAAGAGGGTGAGTAAATGATGATATTGTTTTCAGTTTGCGGTGTACTACTAATACCTTTAAATGGAATATACCATCTCTACAGTATATACAGTTAAAGTCAGTATTATTAGCCCCCCTTTGAATTGTATATATATATATATATATATTTCCCAAATGATGTTTAACAGAGCAAGGAAATTTTCACAGTATGTCTAATAATATTTTTTTTTTCTTCTGGAGAAAGTCTTATTTATTTTATTTTGGCAAGATAAAAAGCAGTTTTAATATTTTTAAACACCATTTTAAGGACAAAATTATTAAGCTATATTTCTTTTCGATATTCTACAGAACAAACCATAATTATACAATAACTTGCCTAATTACCCTAACCTAACCCTAAGTATATTAGGATAATATGAATTTTCAGTTTACTGCCATTTCAATTTCTTTTTTGATTGTAAATGAAATTTTGCTGTTTGATTTAACATGTTGAGTACTGTTTAGAAATAATAGATTATATTAATAGATTTAGAAAAAAAATTATTATTATTTATTTATACTATTTATAAGAAATAGTATGTTAGAAAATAAATATTTACTTTACTACTCAAGTCACCCTCAAATGGTTTAAAAAAGTTATGAATAAAGAATATTCTGTTCTGGAACACAATGGAAGGTATTTTGAAGAAAGCTGAAAACTGTAATCAAAAAACAAATACTATGGAGGTCAATGGTTGCTGGTTTCCAGTTTTCTTCAAAATATCTTTCATCATGTTCACTTAAGCAGAAACAAGTTTGACAAAAGTGAAGGGTAAATACAAATGACACAAATTTCAGATTTGGGTGAACTATCCCTTTAAGTACAAATATTAGGATAAAACTTAAATGCACATTTGGAGAAATGTTGCATTGAAAGCTAAAAATACATGACTGAACCTAAAACCAGTGAAAAAAAATTTGACAATTTTATTAATGAAAAAATGAGGAGCACTTTTAGTGATTTTCACAGATCCACATGATCCACAGGAATTGTTTCAACGAGGCCTGTAAGTTAAACTTGAGCAGTAATGCAAGTTTGATTTTAGTTTGATAATCAGGTAATCGCCACTTTTGTCACATTCTCAACTTATTTTGATAATGGAACATTCCATATAGGCTGAATCTGAATTTGCATCATGTTTACCTCACTGGTGATAGAAAAGTACATATGGATGTATAAAATTGAATCTAAGTTGACACCATTAGAAGCTACTGTAACTTTTGTTTTCATCATTACCATCTTTGATATTTTAACATTTATTTAATCATCTTGCTAAGTTCATTACATTAAAACATATTTATTACTGTTTTTTGAATGTATTTAAGTTTAGATTTGGCATCAGATTCCCTGCCGTTTTTTAAATTGAAAAAAGATGTTTACTTGCACAAGGACTTAAAGGAGTAGTTCACCCAAAAATGAAAATTACCCCTTAATTGACTTTTTTCTTTCAGACGAACACACATGGAATAGTTTCAAATTTTATCCTGGCTCTTCCTTAATGGTTTTAGGTAGTGACTTTTATTTTGAAGCTTCCAAAAAGCCCATAAATCCATCATCAAACAAACCCATACAAACACATGTTTTATTGTCACAATTACCAGCGATCTAGTTTTTGCCTACACATATGCTACTTTAATAAACTACAACTCCCGTCATGCATGTCAGACACATCAGTTCATGATTACACACACACGCCTGGAAGCTCATGATGGACTAATCCCACACACAGACACACACAGAGATTTTGCTGGGTCATGTTCCCCTGTAAGATTTCTTTGCCTTGACCTTTCGTTTAATTTGATTTTTGCTTTGTTCATTGTTTTATAGTTTTGTCTCCTGTCCTGATCATTCTCAAATAAAGCTGCATTTGGAACGAGCCCTGTTAGCACGTTCATTCTTACGTAACAGAATTGTCATGCAGGCAAAGGTTAACACAGGAACAGACAGGAGCATACAGATAAACTAAAAGTGTAGTCAGAGTACAGGTGAATGGTCCAGACAGGTGGCAAAACGACATAAAACAATAAACAAAGCAAAGGTCAAAAACACGAAAGGCAGGAACAAGAAACTGCTTTAAATTGCTGACTTACAAATTACAAGACTCAGCAATGGTGTGCGTGTGTTGTGTTTAAAGTCAATCTGATTAGTCAGCTGATTATCAGCTGTTTGTGTTTGCAATCAAGGGGAATCTGGGCCAGGTGTGTAAGTGAATGGCATCAATGGGATCTGTAGTTTATTAAATTGGCAGATTGTAGTTCTCCAGTGATCTGCAAATACTACATTGTTGGTGATCATGATATTTATGAAGCAGTACCTTGGGCTTTTGTAACACAAAATATTTAACATTTTTCAAATTAAAAGACACTATTAAACAGCATGGAAGAGCCAGGATAAAATGTTTTAACTGTGTTTGTCTGACAGAAAAAAAAAAGTCTTATATATGGATTGAGAATATATTATTGTGTCATTTATATTTACAAACTTTTATCCCCTCTCCACCGAATTGGCTCTATCACTGTCCCTCCACTCCACCAATAGCTGGTGTGTGGTGAGCGCACTGGCGCCGTTGTCCTGTGGCAGCCGTCGCATCATCCAAGTGGATGCTGCACACTGGTGGTGGTGTGGAGAGACCCCCCCCCTCATGATTGTAAAGCGCTTTGGGTGTATGGCCCTACACAATAAATGCGCTATATAAAAAATACACATTACATTTACATTACATTTTCATTATTCCACGAAATACTCCTTTTAATGTTATTATTCACCTGGAAATTATACTGGCATACTATTTGTATTTCATAAATCATTTGATAAGGGTAAATGCAAATTGGGACACAGTCTTGGTTTGGGCTAGAAAGCAGCACAAGGGCAGCTTCTGTGTGTCCTGTATGTGTGTGCGTGAAACAGGATGGCAATGGGTGCAGAACAAAGCAGCTGTGCTAACATGAGCTGACGGTGTGAGATGCAGATAATATAAACCTGAGCAAGAATTGACTAATATTAGCAAAGAATTATGATTTTTGTTTCAGGTTTTTGCATGGCTCATGATTGGATTCATTTAAACACACAAGCATTCATGAGTTCCTGCACCATGCGCAAATGATTTCATCCAATTGAACATGCGCCTAAGCCACTTTGTGATGTATTAATTAATTGTTTGTGCTTGTTTTCTAGTGTTGCATCCTTATCGGCATATTCTGGGTCTCTGGCAGCCTGATATCGGGCCCTATGGAGGACTGCTGAATGTGGTGGTAAGATCACAAAACAATAACACAATTTAATTAGAATTTAAATACAAGATGTACATATTGTGATAGTGATATGGTGGGTGTTAACACTGTAAATCTCAATAGACTGAAATTGAGTAAAAATTTTAGACACAAAACATTAAACTGCTTTATTTAACAACATTTTTCTAAAGTGTAACAGTAACTTAGTTATTTTAAAGCAGAATGTTTCCCAGTAAAACAAACTCACTTTTAAAGCAAGTAGAAGTTGTGGAATGATGTTATATGATGGTAAAGGTAACATAGCAGTATCAGTATCCCACCCTCCCCTCACCTTCCCCGTCCCCCTTGAAGTCAAGTTATTTGTATTTTTATAGCGCCAGATCACAACTTTTAAACAGCTAAATAGCCATATGTATTATCTTATTTACACAAAGGCATGAAGGGCTTGAAATTGCAACCATTTTGGTCGCACATGCACCCGAAATTTCTATCTATGCGAACTTATAATACATTTGGGAGCATTTGTGCGACTGCATGTAATGTTTGTAGTGCGACCTGTTGATTTTTTTTTTTTTCTAAAAACATGCTAAATCGGTCTTCCCTGCCGCTGTATTGGTTCATATTAGCTGTCAATCACTCAAGGCTTTACGCTGTCAGATAACGGAGCTTTTGTGACCGAGGGTAATGCAAACAACTGAAGTTTGAGGAAGACGCAATGAAAAGTACACATGTTTGCAAACCCACCCAAAGTTACAGATAATGCTGTGAATGTCGATCCACCAGCTTAAATCAATCGAGTGTTTTCGGAGAGAGTGCAGAAAGTCTCGGAGAGGATCAGCTGTTTTAATTGCCCGAATCTCGATGCGTTGCATTTACTGCGTGTTCAGCGCAAATGTCCGCTAAATGTAGAATTTAACACTCTACATCATTGCAGAAGAAGCTTGCCTTTAAGTTAAACTGTGAAACTGCGGCTCATGAAAAAACAGCGGTTTTTGTGCCGGTGGTCATCGCAAGAATACTCCTCTGCCTGCTTATATATTGGGCTGGCTGACTCGCCTGCTTTTTTTCACAAACATAGAAAAATATAAATCAGAGCATATTGAGACTGAGCATTTAAAATGACACAAACCCAAACCAAAACTTTTAAAGAGTGGCAGAAGTGAGATTTCCTTTCTTTTGTCTATTCTTTCTTGAGATGTAAACTATTTTTCTATCTAGTTATTGATGACTGCTTTGAGCATTGAAATTAATGATTTATTATATTTTGTTTGTTTTGTAGCAGAAATATTATTTGTTTATTAAATTGACACGCGCATAAAACTTTAGTTCAAAATAAATATTTCTTACTGCAATGCTTAATTTTTGTTTACTGCAAACCAGATTTATTTTTCATAATATAGCAGTATTACTTTATATAGCAGATAACTCACATTCAAGCACATTTAAGACCGAATGATCATGAGTAATGTTATTCATTGTTAGTATCATTGTCATCATCAAGATCATTAACATTTTATGATTATTAGACATTCATTTTGTAATTATTGCGCAAATATCAGTAAATCATCACAGAATTAGTGATATAGTTGTTTCTGATTTTTGTTAGTCCTGCTTGTTGTTTTACAATAACTACATTATTATACAATTTGCAGTGGTGCTCATTCATTTTAAGTTGGTATTCCTAAATTTTTGAAGTGCTACCAAGTAAAAGAGTTAATTTTGAGCCCTGTACATGCTTTTCAGCTCTGTCTCTCGCTCTCACTCTGCCCAAATAAAATTCTATGTAAATTATGTAAAATGTTCTGTCAAATATGTAGACAAAACTGTAAACCTTGAGGAAACACTGATTATGATATGCGATTCATTTATATGAACTGGGTTCTTTAGCTTTGTTTTTTTTAGCAGGGTGTGAGTAGTACAGTTGTTTTTTGGACTCTGACAACCTCATTTTTTTATCTTTTCAAGTGACAATCGAGTTGAAGGAATGATACTAAGCAAAGCATTTGTAAAATGGCTGATGTGTCATTGTGAACTTTAACATTCGAGCACATAATATATAATGTGGTGGTTATAGCTGTGATGTTTTTAGCCATTAGCTTTAATGTCAATAGCATAAATATGATTCATCTCAGAACTGTGGCTATATTTCAAGTATTTTCTGTTTAGACTGGATTGATATACACCAAATGTATAGTGTACAGTCAGTGAACTGAATCCATTATTGATGAAAAGTACATCTGAAAGCTTAAATGAGATTCTGTCGTTTGATTGTTAAACATTTTAAACTGCGTACAGAGTTGACATTTTTTACCATTTTGTGCTTTAGCTTAAGATAATAGCCTCAAACCAGATATCACATGGCATGTCTAAAACCAAATTTTATGTCATATTTTGTCATATCATAGTTTTCAAAAAAGTGAATGAGAAGTTCAGTGAAATATCACAATAACAAGTAACATATAATTAATGTACTATTGGTGTATAGTAAGCATTAGTATTAATATAAGTGCTTTACAGATTTTTATGCCTTTTCATAACAGATGTAACAAGAGTTGACCAGAATGTAGGGACAGACACAAAATGTATTTTTTTATCACTAAAATTACAAAAAATAGAGTAAATAGATGTTTCATGCACATGCTTACTTTAACTTTATGATGTAAACACATAAAAAAGAAGGAAATGTGTTATTAGTGATTAACTATTTAATGGCATGCACTTAGGGACATTTTTAAGACAAAGAGCCCTATCATATACCTGACGCAACATGGCACAAACTGCGATGCAAATGTTGTTTGCTAGTTTCAGCTTGACAAGGTGTCATTTTGACATTTTGCACCACACTGTTTAAATAGCAAATCCATTTGCATTCATCTGTGCACCCATATGCGTTCTGGTCTAAAGTGTTAAGGCGCATTGCTGGCACGTTGCTATTTTGAGGATCTAAAATAGACTGCACAATAGAACATCTGAGAGATGAAGCATGAAGCATTAAACATGAACATTAAGTTATTTGTTTTCAAAAAAATAAGGTTGGAGACTAAATTTACTATTTAAATTTACCCACAATTATCAAATCACTCAAAGCATAAAGTAGATATTTTAAATTAAATTTGATTTACAATGGCTGTGTCCGAAATCACATGCTTTCATACTATATAGTACGCTAAAAACAGTTTGCGAGCCGAGTAGTATGTTCTAATTCATAGAATTTGATAAACAGTATGCGAGAAGTACCCACATGACTTACTACCTCCGGCAAGATTCTAAAGTGTGCATTCCATGCACGCTGCGCTATCCCATAATGCCCCGCGAGAGATTTCATGAATGGGAGTGAAGCGACGCAACTCATGTGGCTAGGTTACGTGATCATGACAAAATGGAGGATGTAGTACATCTGAATTCCATTCATACTGCTCACATTCATAATGTAAAGTTAATACTTAAATTCAGATGCAGTACCTACTGAGTAGTAGGCGGTTTCAGATGCAGCCTATAATTTTTTAGAATGTTGCTTTTAGTTAGTGCACTAAATTGTATTAAATTTCTACTTCTAATGTAATTCATGTAAATGTTTAGATAGTATCTTTGCAGATAAAGTTGCAGATAATATGTTATTTAATCATACTATTGAGATCACTTTGGCTTTATATGGTTCAAAGTCATTCAGGAAATAATGTTTGGATGCATATTTAAAAAAAAAACTAGAAAAAGTATGTTATTTGATAAAACATTTTGAATTTACTATGAATTAGATCAGTGGTTTCCAACCTTTTTTTGACTGAGACTCCCTTTTCCCCGGAAGATATTGTGAGGCCCCCTCCACATTTAGTTATATTACCCCTCATAAAATTTTGCAGTAATGATGACAAAAAATGTTGTTTTCAAACAAACAGTATGTTTATTACTATATCTTGATATGTTTATGCACAAATAATAGCCTAATGTAAAATATAAAGCAAAACATCGGTAGGCCATTTGTAACTGAAAAACATAAGCCTTTTTCCTTTAACTTGGCCCTATTTGAAATTCAATAACAAAAATATCAGTATTTACACTGGTGTATAAGGGGAAAAATCAATATAGGCTATTACAATTTAATACTTGCATGTTATTTGCTATGCTCTATCAAGTAGTGTGAGGACTGCTAGCAGGCGAATCAGTGATTCTTTTTTGTGGAGGACGAATTACAAATTTGTCCGATTTTGGTCAGCTAGGACAGTGGTCCTCAACCTGTTTATCATTTGGGAGCGGTCAACGCTTGACAAGTTTTATTTATGGAGAAAAGTACTAAGCAATGCAGTGTTGGTGTGTTCTGTGTTTGTCTGAGAAAACGAATTTTTCCGAAATGTGAATATTCGCTACATGCTGTCAATTCTTGTCACAGCACATCACACCGCTTGTGCGCACAAACCGTGCACCTCCATTGGAAACAACAAACTTGTGCAAACTCTAGAAATACGAGATATGCGAACACATAAAAGGCAGCCGTCATTTGTGATCTCCATCAGTTGATCAGACATGCTTGATTCACCTGATTTGTTGAAAAATGGGTTGCGGATCCATTCCTTGGCAGTTCCTTTACTTGGCCTTTTTCCCTTGGCAAAGAAACTTTCCAAAGACATCTGTGTCTTACTCATTTTGCTGCTTTTGGGTTAAATTTCGATGCTAAAGTGACCGAGATGTAAGCAAAAGAATACAGTCATTTTTCAAAATAAAACACTGTTCAGACTCAAATAATAATAAAATATAAATAGTTAATTTATGATTTCTTGTGCAGCCTGGTACCAATTGATCCACGAACCGATGGTCGAGGACCACTGAGCAAGGGAATAAAATGAGCTAAGGCAGCATGATCATTCTCCGAATTGTCCACTGCTAAGAAATTTTTTAAATATGACGCAACCCCCCACAAAGCTCGATGAGGCCCCCTTGTGGGCCGGGACCCCCTGTTGGGAGCCGCTGAATTAGACCATAATAATCCTAATTAATAACCCACTAATTATTAGTGGGTGGAATAAATTCTCCCATGGCTTGTCACATATTAATGAGCGATATCACATGGGAAGCAGTGTAATATGGCTGTATATTGACACTAGGCATGCTTGGACTTTAGGCCAACATTTAGCCATATCGCACTGCTGCAATTGTGATATTGCGTTTTTACAACAGTTCGACATAATTGTGTATGAAAAAGAAAGTCAAACACTGAGTGTCTCAAAAATTCTTTTGTTCAATGAACTACATTCTTCCGCCATTCATTCACATCTGCAGCTGACATCAGAACAGCAGAAACAATTGTTCATTTACCAACATCACTGTAGAGCTAGTATTTAAATGATTCTCTAGTGTAATGTCTATAAATATAATAAAACAGGTGCTTTTGCTGACATTTTAAGATTATGAAGCTAAACGGCATGAAATGCCATCAGTCTACAGAGATTTCTCTTTCTGGTGTTTCTCTGTTGCAATTGGGATATCACAATATCACTATGTATATTACTATGTTATAAGTACAGCACTACAACATGCAAAAGTGAGAGATCTGTATCACTTATCTGTTCTATAATGGTTTGTTCAGCTGTAGTTTGAAACTTATACTGAGAAAACGTGAAGCATCAATTTCTTTGCTCTGCTCAGTGACAGGTTTATGGCCGCTGACGAGTCTTTAAAATATAAATATTTTCAAAATTATCCTTATAAGTAAACTACATAGTTGCAATTTAGACAACTACATTCTCACCTTAAAAAAAAGCCTCAAAAGCACATTATGTTGTCTAACAGCTGCAATATTTGTCAAACTGTTGTAAGTTTATTAATCTGCTGTCACTTTATTTGGGCGGAGTAATACACAAGGGGGAAGAGACTGTACAAGTGCTGTTGTTGCAGAATATTGCACTGTTTTCAGCCAATAAGATTCAAGAAACCAGACAGAACTGTTGTATAAAACTGTATATTAAATAGTGAAACACTTTAAATTACATACAATTGCAAACCACAGCCATTAAACGTCACAAATTTCAGATGTGTACCTCATTCTTTGTTGTTCTTTCTTTCTTTCTTCCTTCCTTTCTTTTTTCATTCTTTCTTTTTTTCTTTCTGTCTTTCTTTCCTTTATTTATTTCTTCATTTCTTTCTTTCTTTCTTTCTTTCCTTTCTTTCTTTCTTTCTTTCTTTCGAGCATCATTTTAGGTTGATGGGCTGTTCATCATTGGCTGGATGTATTTACCGCCCCACGACCCTCGTGTGGAGGACCCTATGCGCAGACGGCCTCTTTTCCGCATACACATGTGGGAGAAAAACAAAGCCACAGTAGAATGTATGTACGGACACAAAGGGCCTCATAAAGGAGACATTCAGGTAGATTGCACAATGTTTGTAGTGCCACTAATAGCAGTGTTTCTCAACCACGTTCCTGGAGAACCACATGTTCCACGTCTTCTTAAACGCAGCTGATTTAGATCATCAGCTTATTAGAAGAGACTGAAAGACCTGTAATGTGTGTGACCGACAAAGGAGACGTTCAAAACATGCAGTGTTGGTAGTCCTCGAGGAACATGGTTAGGAATAACTGATCTATAACACATTTAGCATAATGGATTTATTTATTTATTTTACAAATACTAAATCAGTGTTTTATACAATAGCATACTTTACTTTGATCATCTGGTTTAAATCTCAAAACTGTTCAGTCCTTTAAAAATTCTCAGATAAAGTCTCTGTTCCCTGACCATGAGGACACAATACAAATATAAATTTGTAAAGATTGTGTAAATTGTTTGATTTGTTTTAAATAAATAAATAAATAAATAAAAAACATTGTCATACACAATATTATAGACTTAAATCGCCATAGTCATATGAAGACTATACCTATAGTAGGGCTGCACAATATACACTCTCTGGCCACTTTATTACTAGTACTGGGTTGGACTGCCTTTTGCCTTCAGAACTGCCTTAATCCTTTATGGGATAGATTCAACAAGGTACTGGAAATTTTATTCAGAGATTTTGGTACATATTAACATGAGAGCATCACGCATTTGCTGCAGATTTGTCGGCTGCACATCCATGATGCGAATCTCCCGTTCCACCATACCCCAAAGGTGTTCTATTGGATTGAGATCTTGTGTCTGTGGAGGCCATTTGAGTACAGTGAACTCATTGTCATGTTCAAGAAACCAGTCTGAGATGGTTTGTGCTTTCACACGGTGCCTGAACAGCCAGCCTGAACCATTGATACGAGGCAGACTGGATCCATGCTTTCATGTTGTTGACACCAAATTCTGACTCTACCATCTGAATGTCGCAGCAGAAATCGTAACTCATCAGACCAGGCAATGTTTTTTGAACCTTCTATTGTCCAATCTTGGTGGGCATGTGTGAATTGTGGTCTCAGTCTCCTGTTCTTAGCTGACAGGAGGGAGACCCGGTGAAGTCTTCTGCTACTGTAGCCCATCCGCCTCAAGGTTGGACCTGTTGTGCGTTCAGAGATGCTCTGCTGCATACCTCATTTGTAACAAGTGGTTATTTGAGTTACTGTTCCCTTTCTTTTAGCCGGAACCAGTCACGCCATTCTCCTCTGACCTCTGGCATCAACAAGGCATGTGCGCCCACAGAACTGTTGCTCACTGGATATTTTCTATTTTTCGGACTACTCTCTGTAAACCCTAAAGATGGTTGTGTGTGTAAATCCTAGTAGATCAGCAGTTTCTGAAATACTCAGATCAGCCCATCTGGCACCAACAACCATGCCACATTCAAAGTCACATAAATCTCCTTTCTTCCCCATTCTGATGCTCAGTTTTAACTGCAGCAGATCGTCTTGACCATGTCTAAATGCCTAAATGCACTGAGTTGCTGCCATGTGATTGGCTGAATAGAAATTTGTGTTAACGAGCAGTTGGACAGGTGTGCCTAATAAAGTGGGTGGTGAATGTGTATTAATCTGCAGTACTATGGCTTAATAACTATGATTTAACTGTATTGTTGTATTCCTTTTTTCCTTTTATACTTGACAGTTTACATTAGGCGGTTGACATTAATAACAAACTACACTTATGTCGTACAAATTTATAATCTTTCTTCTTCACATCTTCCTTGTTCATATCCACATGCCTGATTGTGAATCAGATCAGATTGTGAGTTGCTCATGTATAATTGGCTAATATTAGCATTAACAAACAGTGTACCTAATTAAGTGTTTACTACTGGAAAACTAATTACCACCATGTCTGTTTTTCCCCAAATTGTCTTTTATACTTTTTCCAGACTGTGAAGAAAGATGAATTTTCCACCAAGTGCAACCAGACCGATCACCATCGAATGCCTGGAGGAAGGCAAGAGGTAAGAGAGCAGTGATGCTTGCACAGATTTTAAGGAATACTATGGCAGAATTGTCTTGTCTTCGGTTTTCTTGCGTAGGAGTTCAGAACGTGGTTGGAGGAGGAATGGGGACGAACGCTGGAGGACATTTTCCACGAGCACATGCAGGAGTTGATCCTCATGAAGTTCATTTACACCAGCCAATACGAGTGCGTCTTCTTTACTATTCCTCACCCAGAACACTAACTAGCTATGTACATGTGAAATTATTAGAAAAACCAGTTGTGTGCGTAAGATTTATTTGCGAATTTTCAAAATGTTTGCACATCTCAGCTTTGCCATTGAGCATTTGTATGTGACATTCCAAAATGAACAGCTAATGTAGTTTTTATATTCCATTTCAGTTTCCAGTCAGATGACATCATGTGTTTCTAGTGTTGTAAATGTTAAATTTGTGTTTTTCTTTTCAGTAATTGCCTGACATACCGGCGGATATATCTGCCTCCGTGCCTCCCTTCAGACCTCCTGCAGCCAGGCCTCTTCAAAGGGACATATGGCAGCCATGGCCTGGAGATCATCATGCTGAGCTTCCACGGCTCCAAGGCCAAAGCCACCAAACTCACCGTGAGTTACATAGCCACAGCTCCAGCCTAAACGCGATGACCACCTGATTTGGTGATGCTGCACAAAGTATTAAAATTATAAGATGTGTTTCTTAATGCACATTTAAAGGGATTGTTTATCCAAAAATGAAAATTTGCTCAATATTTACTCTTTCTCAAGTGATTCTTAGTCCTTGAGATTCTTTTGTCTGAACACAAAAGAAAACATTTTCTGGAAATGGAGAAAGTCAAACAGGGTGAGCAAATTATGACAGAATTAAAAATTTTGGGTGAACTCTACCTTAAATAGCTTTAAAAGAGGATGAGTTTTATTCCAAATGTAAAATTATATTTATCAGCAAAAACACTTCATCTGTAAAAACTAGCCAAGAGGGTTGTCTGTTTTTCAAACTAGCGTAGAGTGCCTTCTGCTGTAAAAACTAGCCTAGAGGGTCATCTGTTGTTAGAAACTAGCCTATAATGCTGTCTGTTGTTAAAAACGAGTTTAGAGAGTTGTCTTTTGCTAAAAACTCGCCTAGAGCACTGTCTGTTGCTAAAAACCTGCCTAGAGAGTTGTTTGTTGCTAAAAACTAGCCTAGAATGTAGTCTGTTGTTAAAATCTAGCGTAGAGAGTTGCCTTTTGTTCAAAACTAGCCTAGAGCATGGTTGTCTGTTGTTTATGTGTCCCACACGGCTAAAAACATTATTAGGACACATATATCTCACTAAAAAGTGAAAATTAGTTGTTTTTGCGTTATTTCGAGCAAATTTGTACCTCCGGTTTGAAACGAAATTTTGAAGCTGCGTCACGGCCATGAGATCTTAGTATTCCAGCGTGTAGACTGGACGTCTGTACCTGGGTGTCCCGTATTACGTCTCTGAGTGTGTTGCATTCATTCATTAGTAAGGCTTGGTTCAAACCAATCAGCGCGCTCCATTATGCATGTGCTGCAACTTCATCAATATGCATGCTAGCTTTCTTAGACTGTACCTGAAACAGTGTTCAGACGGCAGAGAGACAACACACGTCCTGTTGCCAAAAGTTGTGGGAAAAGAATAAGAATTGTTTGGAGATACGGTTCGCCAGTGTTGCTTTCATAATGTGAAAGTTTTGTTTCATTTTCTCTCTATGAGAGCACTGCTGTACTCACGTGTGGATCAGTACTCGCGACGCGCGGTGGAAATTTGTTTGTTTGAAACATTTTTTTTACTCAAGAGCATTTCTCATCAATGGTGAGATCCTGATTTGCTGCTCGTCTCCTTTAAAAAAAGACGCAGCTCCAATATGTGCTGATTGTCTTGTCTACAGATTCGGTAAGTGTGTGCAATCAGGGCCCTTTCTTTGTTCATTCAGTTGGCAAAGTTATAGTTCGTATGGTCAGCAGTACTCTTAGTGTTTAAAGACAGACATTAGTCAAAATGATTCTTAAGTTACTTAGTTTACAGTATGTTAATATCACTACAATATTGAAAGATCCGCTGTAAATGCTGCTCTCTGTGTGTAAACAAGTGAACACTGCAAGCAAACTTTTGCTAACCGCTGGTTGAATTTTCACCGCATTTTGTGACAGGATACACACACACGGCTTTCTGACCTACTGAGTGCATCTGAGTTACAAAGAAATGCAGAGGCTTTTTTCTCTTATACGGCGTGCGGTATCAAACATTTCACCGTCATTAAACACACTGTCTTTCTCCCCTGCGTGTGTGTGTTTGCTTTTCCTCGGTCAGCAGCATGTACCCAAATGGCAACTCCTATTTAATTCAAACCCCGCCCATTTTCGCTCCCTTGACACTCCCACCCAAACAGAGCTAGACTAACCACTTTCCTGACTTTTTCCAAACTAGAGGTGTGAAAACATCCTGCTGAAACGTTTCATGGCCCTTTAAAAAACTAGCCTAGAGTGTCATCTGTTGTTAGAATCCAGCCTGGAGCGCCGTCTGGTGTTTATAAACTAGCCTAGAGAATTGTCTGTTGTTAAAAATTAGCCTAGAGCATTGTCTGCAGTTAAAAAGTAGCCTAGAGCTCTGTCTGTTGTTAAAAACTTGCCTAGAGGGTCATCTGTTGTTAGAAACTAGCGTAGAATGTCGTCTGGTGTTTATAAACTAGCCTAGAGCACTGTCTGTTGTTAAAAACTAGCCTAGAGCACCGTCTGCTGTTAAAAACTAGCCTAGAGCGCCGTCTGCTGTTAAATCTTGACTAAAGCACCATCTGTACTTGAAAACTAACCGAGCCTTAGCTGTTGTTAAAAACTAGCCCAAAGCACTAGCTACTGTTAAAAACTACCCTGGAGTGTTGTCTATTGTTAAAAACTTGCCTGTCACATTGTCTGTTGGTAAAAACTAGCCTAAAGCATTAGCTGCGTCCCAAATGGCACACTATACACTATGCACTCATGCACTATGAACTTATGCACTTACACACTCAACAGGATAGTACATGTATGTAGTGTCGTCCCAAATGGCACACTATTGTTTTTAATAAGCAGGAATTCAAACCGTTTCCCTGATGATGTTTGACGGTTGCCAAATAAGTTAAATAAACGACCGAATTATCAAATATTACTTGCTGTGAGTAAAACCGCATTCACCATCGGGAGGCGCTATTATCACTCTCGTAGGAGAATTTTGCTTTCACCATTCAAAATGAATAAAGTTATCCAACATGTGCGTCCGATAGCTCCGCCCCTTCCGCTGCGTAAGCAAACCTGCAGTCGTTGAGTGCGTGAAGTGTCCATCATTACACACTTCATTTTAGCGGCTGAATGAGTGCATCATCCGGGTAATTAAAGTGCACTTATTATTTTAAGAGTTTTCAGTGTGAATGCACTACTTACACTATTTATACTACAAAATGGCATAGAATAGTGCATAAGTATGCGATTTGGGACACAGCTATTGTCTTCATACCCAGCTCTATTTGCTTTGTTAATTTTTCAGGGTGATCCGAATGTCCCGGCAGGTCAGCTGACGTTGGAAATTGACCTGCAGCGTCCCGTGCGTCTGCCAGATCTGGAACAGCAACGCAGTATGGAGGAGCTCTCTCGCCTGGTGCTGGGAGTGCACGAGGAAGTACAGAGAGCCTCACAAAGTCAGGGCGTCCAAGCGGAGGCAGCAGAGTCCGAAGTAGAGGCCTCAGATTCAGCGCCCCCTGCTGGAGCGGAGGACGAGGAGCCTGCAGCTGCTGCCGCTCCTAAAACTCAGGCTTTCGTGCTGCCGCTGGGGGTCATGGCGAGAAATGAAGTTTACCCTCGAACATGCAAGATGTGGTGAGGGACGTTTACACTCTCTAATGCGCACACATATAATTATGAAAACAAGTTTATTTTTTATTTAATTTATTAACTATGAACACAAAATAAAAAGTTTATAAGTAGAAAATTTACAATCAAATTCAGCAGAACAAAAACTCACAATTTTGAGTTTATACTAAGGCTGCACGATATTAGAAAAATCTGACATTGCAATGTTTTGTTTTTACCGTGTTATACATTGCCATATAAATATAATTTCACCAGATGAATTCACCATTTTAATAGCTCTATTTGGAAAGATCTTATTCATTTAGATGATCAAGTCTTTTTCTAAGCAGTGGATCTGCATAAATTATAATAAATTACTAGCCAAAATAAATAAATATACATTAATATAAATACTTTATGGAGTTAAAATCAAACAATCAAATGTAAAATACAGGATCATTATTGTATAAATAATAATAATGGTAATAAAAAACATTATTAATTTTTTTATCTTTTAATCTTTAATAAATAATCAAACTCTGCGAAGTGACTATTTTTCAGTATTATTTTTAGTACCAACGTTTCCTTAGAAACGCAAGGCATAAATGTTCAAGTTTAGAACATCCTTGTATATGAGAAATTGTATAGAAAACAAAGTCAAAATTGTAAAAAAAAGAACAATCCTACAAAATAAAAGTCCAGATTTTAAGATATTAATTTAATATCTAAAAAAGAATTGTTTCCAAATATGATTTATATTCAACCTATATTTTTAATTGTTTTGTTTCATTTTTAATTACTATGTTGAATGAATAAGTGAATGAATGCTACATAAGCACTTGAAATCAGAAATTACTAAATGTTTACATTATGTACATATAATATATTAAAATATAAAACTAATTCAAATATATAATGCAATTATACGTTTTACTATGGACTAGTATAAGTTGATTAAAATTGTAATGTTGTGATTGTTATATGTTATAATTTATAATCTTATAAGTTGGGAGTTGTTACATCATAATTTAGTTTTCTTTTTTTTCAAACAAGCAAGCTCTAAAATTGAAAATGGGAATTTATCTTGCATTTCTGAAAAAAAAAAATTCTCTTTTTTCACAGTTATGGGATTTATTTTGTAATTGCAAGTTCTAAATTTGTAGTTGTAAAGTTACAATTTTGACTTTTTTCATAGTCTTTTGACAACCTTTTGATTAACTCAAAATTTGATTAACTTAAATCTTGGTTTTGAAAATTAGTAACTTCACAGAATTTTGAGTTTACATCTATAATTTGGACTTTTACAGCCCAATTATTTATTATATTTTTTTTTGTAAGAAACAAGCACTGTTATAATAATAACACAACACAGACTCATTGTGAATGAGTGTCTACATTTCTGAATGAGTGTCTACTCTGTCTACATTACTGGAGAGCACAAATTATGTAGCCAGAGGTAAGTCTGGCTGCATTTCGTCTTCAAACCTACAGGGCGGTATGACGCCACCACCGGCCTCTGTTCTTTTTTTGCGCAACCAGCTGACTGCTTGCCTTCATGTGCACGGCTTTTCTGGTGTTAACAGTTTGGCCAGTGGCTCACCGCATACGTTTGCAGATTTGGGAGGCAGAGCGGAGTTGAGAGAGAGTTCGGTGAAAAACAGTTCTAGAAAGCAGGTAAAATAAAATCAAAAAAGACAAAAAATAAAATAAGTAAATAACTGGGTGAGAACATGGTAAGATCCAAAAGTGTGGTAAAAAAACAGGCAGGCGCGAGTGCTTTTCTTTTACTGGATTGCTTTTGAAGACATGGTTTATGGAAGAAGGTGATCAGGTCAATCTGTGCTTTTGAAAACACTATTGGTTCAGTTTAGGGAAGGGGGTGAGTGGTAGGGATCAGTCAAAAGTGGCTTGCAGCAGTGGATTTAAGTTAGAAGAGCAAGCACGAATGGCACTCGCAAAAGAAATTTGAGATCTGAAAAAGCATACCTAGCGTCTCTAGTAGATTCGCAAAAATAAAATCTGCAAACAAACGTACTTCCTGGCATGTAATTTGCAGTCTCCAGAAATGTAGACGGGGTATCCATAATGAGCTTAGGTTGTAATAATAATGACAATATATTTTTATATATACTTTTAAAAAAAGGGATTCATAACATAAATAAAACAACATTGCAAAAATAAAATTGTGTAAATTAATTTTTTTCTTTTATTTAAAGAAGATGAAAGTGCATTAGCTTAATTGTAAACTGGATTTTCTTTCTGCATTTTCAGTTTTTACGGAACTGGCCTGATCGCAGGTCACGGCTTCACAAGTCCAGAGAGAACGCCGGGTCTGTTCATCCTGTTTGATGACGATCGATTCGGCTTCATCTGGCTGGAGCTCAAGTCCTTCAGTCTCTACAGCAGGCTTACCGATCAGCTGACCCATGCTCAGGCTCCAAGCATGCAGCGCTTCGAGAACATGCTCCGCAACATGCAGTCCTGGACGTCCTGATAGATCACACACACGTTACACGCTCGCACTTCTGCTCCCATTCGCAAATGGTGTACACTACCGGTCGGAAGTTAAAGATCAGTATGATTTTTTTAAGTGTTTAAAAAATTGTGCTTAAAAAGGCTGGATTTATTTAATTTAAAATATAAAATACAAAAAAAAATACAAAAAAGATAATATAACAATTTAAAATAAATTCATGTTCAGTTTTTGAATTGAACATGTTTTAAAATGAAATTCATTATTTATTGTGATTTAAAGCAGAATTTTCTCTCTAATCTTTCTTATTATTTGTTTACTTATTAGTATTAATAATAATTAATAATAATTGAACAACAATTGAACGCATTCTTGCCAACACTCCCATTTTTCCCAGGAGTCTTCCATATTTTAGACCCATCTCCTGCCACCCTCCCATTTTGTTATTTCTACCGGAAAACTCCCGTAATTTAGTTCTCAGCCTTTTGTAGTCTGTAACACCTCCGGGTTGCCAACTTCGGTATAGTTTTCAACACTAATGATAATAATAATAATATTAAAAAAAATTGATCATTATATTATAATGATTTCTAAAGTATCACGAGACACAGAAATGAAGACTAAAGTGAATTTAGCTTTAAATAAGACTAATAAATACATTTAAAAACAATATTCAGCAATAAAAATATTTTAAATTGAAATAACATTTTAGAATTTAACAATTTTAATTATATAAATGTCTTTTTTTTAAATAAATAAATAAAAATAACCTTACTTGTTATTGGTACTTCTAAATGGTAATTTATCAGTTTCCACAAGAATATGAAGCAGCCCTACAGTTTTCAACACTAATAACAATAATAATGATTTCTTGATTACCAAATCATCATGATATAAGGATTTCTGAATGATCATGAGACACTCAAATGAAGAAAGAAGTGAATTCAGCTTTAAATAACAGTTATAAATTACATTTACAACTATATTCAGTAAGAAAAATCTAATTTTAAATTGAAATAATCTTTTACATTGTATGTGTATATATATATATATATACTTATTACTGGTACTTTTAAATAGTAAATTATCACAATTTCCCCAAAAAGAAGCAGCAGCCCAATGATTTTCAACACTAATAATATTAATAATAATTTCTCCATCTTTAAATCATATTATAATGATTTTTTAAAGGATCACAAGACTCTGAACTGAATACTGAAGTAAATTCAGCTTCAAATAACCGTAATGAATAGCATCCTAAACAATATTCAGTAACAAAAGGTTAATTTAAATTGAAATAATCTTTTACATTTTTACTGTATTTTACATTAAATAAAAGTCTTTTTTTGTAAATGAGTAAATACATAAAAATCTCACTGATCCCATACTTTGGACTGGTAGTGAATCTACAGCAAAACGGCCATATGGTTGTATTATATTAGGCCTTTTCTTATCAGCTTTTTAATTAATTTATTTTTTATAACCTGAAAATGGCTACAGAGATGATTACGAGGATGAGAAATCCACCTTATTCTCTTCTGAGCGTGCCTCTGATACATTATAGACACATCCCAAACTCCAATCCTGTGATTTTGTGCTTTAAAAATTATTTAGGCGCATTTGTTCTCAACATGGCAACGTCTTTTAAGCATTTTTGTTTTGTTCCTCGATAAACAAAATCCATTGTACTTGGAAAATGCTTCCAATCTTCTGTCAACTCTTGTTGAAAAGCGAAAGACTTCCAGCTGTTTCGTCGCTGCAAATGTTGTCCATTTTATCACCTCATATTGCATCCATTAATATGACGTAAACAATATCTGCCAAACTCTTTTATTTAATTTAGATTTATAATGCTGTTGAAATTGAAAACGAAAAGTTACTGTATGGAAGCTTTTGTTCGCCACAGAATTAAATCAATAAATAAAGATTAAATACAAGTCATAATTGGCAACGTAATTTTCCAAAGTTTGCCCTTTTTCAGTTACTCAATTTACCTCTCACAAGTTTGACTTTTATTTTGGAAGTTGACATTGTGACTTTTCTCTCACTTTTTTCAGATTTTTCTCATAGAAGCATGTTTTAAACTTGCGAATTTAAGCCTTACATTTAGGAGGAAAAGTCAGTTCTTCATATTTCAGAATTTTGACCTTTTTCCCTCAATTGCAAGTTGATATTATATAGTTTTTCAAGGTATAAACTCAAAATTGTAAGTTTTGCATTTAAATCACTTAGTTTGTAGTTGGAAACTGAAAAAAAATGCAAGTCTACATGTTTTTTCCCCACATTTTAAATGGACAATTTGCACTTTTATTTCTACATTTTGTGAGTTTATATAAAAATCCTAAGTTATGAATTGCAAAATGAAGTCTTGCAGTTTTTCATTTATTTATTTTGTCAATTACGATTTAAACTTTTTTCTACATATGTAAGTTCTAATCAAGTTCAGTTTGTGACTTTAAGTTGTGTTTTGTTTATTTAATAAAATTTTATTTAATTTTTTTCTTGAAACGATACATTTTTTTTAGCTCTAAACTTGTGATTAAATATTTTTTTTCACGCTTACGGATTTATATCTTGTAATTTGTGAATAAATCTAAATTCCAAATTTGTAATTGTAAAGTTAACATTTTGGTATTTGTAAAGTTACCGATTTAATTTTATATCTCTTAATCTTGACTTTAATTTTGAGTTACGGTAAGGTATAACCTCAGTATTGTGTTTTGCAATTTGTTTTTCATCGAATTGTACATTTCTTACCATTAAAACTTTACATTTCATAAAAGTGTTTATTTCGTTCAGTTTAAAATTAGAAACATCTTAGATTTCTACATTTACGATTTCAACAAATTCAGCTGTACATAATTGTAAAATTTTTAAAGGAGGTGTGGCACCAAACACCGCCCCTAAACCTAACCGTCATTGAGGGATAAGCAAATCACACTAAAATGTACGAATGACATTGTACGAATTCATAAGACTTAGCCACTAAATCGAAAATCTCTGAATTGCTGTGAGATTGTTTTTTTTTCTTTTCTTTTTTTTTTCTTTTTTTTTTTGCTATTGCAAGTTTTAAATTTGTAGTTGTTAAATTGGGATTTAGACTTTTTTCATAGTCGAAAATTTTTCAAGATTGTAATCTTTACAAACATTTTACCACGTAACTGTGTTTGTGTCTCACAGTTCTACATTTTTCTTCTAAGAACTAGTTTTCAAGCTTACTGTTTTTAGGGAAAAGTTGTGATTTCAAAACCTAGAATTACAAAGAAAATGTAGTCAAAATTGTGAGGCATGAATTCGTAATTTTTAACTTTATAATTGTAAGTTTTAAACGTAATCTCGGTTTTGAAGAATCGTCACTTCACTGAATTTTTGGAGTTTACATCTTATGTTTTCAGCACAATTGCATTGTATATCTTGCATTTGTAAGGCATAAACATGTAATCCTGCTTTTTTGGGGGGATTTTTGTGTTTGTATTTGGCACTTTTACGTTTTCTTCTTAGAACTAAGTTACGAACGTTCCATTTTTAGAAAAAAAAAAGTCAAAATTGGGATTTCTAAACCTAGAATTAGTAGTCAAAAGTAGTCAAATTGTGATGTATGAATTCACCGTTGCCCAAAAAAGTGTGAATTTTTATTTCAAATATTTTTTGTAATCTGTGACGGAAATAAGCTTCCATAACCCGCAAACTGACGACCACACAGACTGTCTGATTTTCTATTTGTGTTCCTCTTGCTGTGCAGCTCTTCCAAGTGCTCTTCCTTCCGCAGCGCAGCGCAGACGTTTATCAGAGAAACTTTTATATTCGACTGCAGCATTACTAGCATTTGAAAATGAAAAAACAAACAACAGTATAATGTAAAGTGAATATATATGTAAATGCATTGAAACTATTTAAACCTTTATCAATATATTTGAGCTTTGTTTTAGGGATGATTGTGTATATATATATGAACTAATTTAAGTATATCGCCTGTGTTTACAACCTCAGTCGAGTGATCATTGTTTCAAGTGGAATATTGAATTTAACATTTGCGTGGACTGATGACGTACAACTATTGATTTTATTCCAAAAAATAAAAAGATTTAGCATTTGAATCAAAAACTGACTCAGAATAAACCTGATGTACTTTAGTCCCTCTTTCCCAGTGGATAAAATCTAAATTGGTTCCATTTTGTTTTTTGTTTAACGTCCTGATTCATAAACACCATTTCATGTTGACTTTAAATGTTGACCGAGTTTCCCTCCATCTAAAATGACAAGTAAATCGGCAAACCATTGCGCAAAAATCAAATTTATACATTTGTTTCACTTAAGTTTTTAAGTAACTTAATAATATATGCAGATTTTATATTATACGGATCACAACCCCAAGTAAAACCATTACATTTCGAAATGTTTTGGAACAGTGAAGTTGCGATTTAAGCAATTTTCTTGGAATAATTTATGTTTTTGTGATTTTTAAACTTAAGAATGTTATTAATGTATACTTATAACTTAGTATTTATGAATTTCAAGATAGATTGTGGATTTCAACATTTTTTTAAATAGCAAAGTTTCGATTTGTAGCTATTTTTTTGGAATCTTAATTTTTTTTATAATTGTAACTTTGAGATTAAGTTATAAATGTAGTCTTCTAACTTAATATTTATAATTTTGAAGATGGATTGTGGATTTTAGATCACACTCATTAAAGCCCTGTGGAGAACCATCCAAATGTTTCGAAACGGTGAAGTTGCGATTTTTTTTTTATTATTATTATTTTTATTTATTTATTTTATTTTTTTTTTTTTCATCATAAGTCATACATTTTTCAGTATGGTAAACTTGAGGTTGTCATAAATATATAAGTACAACTTAATAGTTATGAATTTCAAGATAGATTGTGGATTTCGAAATGTTTCGAAACATTGCACTCGCAATTTTTTGCCATTTTTTTGGAATCAGATTTTTTGCGATTGTAAACTTGAAACTAAGTTATAGAAGTATACTTGTAACTTAATATTTATGAATTTGAAGATAGATTGTGGATATTATATCGCACTTATCACAACCCCTTGGAGAACCATTGAATTTCAAAATGTTTCAGAGCAGTGAAGTTGCGATTTTTAGCTATTTTCTTGGAATCGTTGATTTTTCAAGATTGTAAACTTGAGATTAAGTTATAAATGTATAAGTACA